GTTTCTTAGTCTAGTCATCAAGCGTCTCTTAAAAACCAGTCTGTCACTTTCTTGGCTCAAAATCAAGGATGAAATCAAACAAAGATCAATAGATTTGACTCCATAAAAATTAAAAAACTACTCTGTCAAAACCCCACATAATCTAACTGAAAGGCAAACGATAAACCAAGAAAAACATCCCCCACTACCATACCACGATGGTAAAACCCAGTGCAGTTCAGAACACACCAGCGGTGCCCTCCTGGGCAGCCAGCGCTGGGCGTGCGGGGCCATCCAGAGCTCAGGAAGGCAGCTGCGGACCGCACACAGTTCCACTGAGAGAGCAGGACGGAGGACCTGCCCGTGCCAGTGCAATGCTGTAAGAGCACAAGGAGCCCTGAGAAAAGGGGAGGCTGGGCCCCAAATGCAGCGGAGGCTCAGGGAAGGCTTCCTGAGGAGAAGTCTCAGAGTAATTTAACAGCTTCGAGGATTCACAGCCCTACCTTGTAGGCACCTAAATTATGTTTGCTTGCTCTCAGCGTTTACCATAGGCACAGGACAGTGTCCTGGTCTCAGTGTTGTTTAATGAAGGGACAAGGAAGTGATTGATGTTGGTTTCAGTGCAGAAACCTAGATAATACTCTCTTGCTTTAACACCCTACTCCCAACCCAACCCATACCCTTGATAATGTTTTGGGGTGAATAAATCAGGTTTAAAATATGCAGTTGGGAAATGGGATTATTGTGACCCTGGGGTTGGTTGGGTGGAACAAAGGAATTCTAGATTTAGAGCAACAGCTATGGGTAGGGGGTGAGGGTTCCCACGCTGTGGGGGACAGGTGTGGTTTTACAGGCAGGGAGTTGAGGAAGAAGACCGGTATTCTGGAGGGACAGAGAGGAGGGCTGACCGCAAGATGAGAGGAGCAAATGGGTGCCTTGGGGAGACACAGGGGGATCCTCTGGGCAGGGTGTAACTGATTGTGTTACCCTCCTCCCATGGATGGCATCATTAGAGAAGAGGGAAGGGACCCAGAGCACCAAGAGAGATGGGGAGTGGGAGGTGTGCGCCAGGTCCGAACAGCTGCCACAGGGATGCCAAGAACAAACTCCGCCTTTGCCCAAAGGGGTTAGAGGAAGGCTGCCCTTCAAGAACCGGGCTGACACTTGGGTTGCCTTCATTGTCTCTGGAAAAAAATAAACAATTTGAAAACGAAAAAGATAACTTAAGAAAAAAAAGAGTTCTAATTCTCCCTCTATGTTATGCAGGGAGGCAGAAAGAACTAGATTAAAATGAACAAGAATGGCCTGCCAGATCCTTAACTGATAAGGGAAGAACTCATTTAATTGGTGTCTGTCTTGAATAATAATATGCATTAGAAAGTGACTAATCTGAAGTAGCACACCAGAATAAGAAAAATAAACAAGGAAATAAGGAAGTAGTCAAGGAAAGTTCCTGAAATTAAATTATGGTTTGAAAGGATAAAGCCATGTTAACAACTCGTTACCATATTTTAATTTCATGGTGATTAAAATTATAATGGAGCATGTACTACCATTTAATTGATCTGTCAACATCAAGCATTTCCAAGTTTCTCTTTGTTCTTTGCAGTCATAAACTATCTAGTCTTTCCTGCACAATTTCAGAGGTATTTTCAAACCATAAATATTGCTCTTTATTAAAATTCTCAGGAAATTAGAGCTTCGATAGCTACTTATTTATATCTGCTTTGGCAAGAGGCCAGGAAGTTCATTTTCTTATCATTTGAATTCTACAAAAGTAAAGTGCTAAAGGAATATTATCTATTAATCTCCATGCTTCCTTTTATGACAGTTTTACAGTTTAATAACAATGTTCAGTTATCTGAGGGTGACTAGTTAAGCTTTAAAATTAGGTACTTCTCTTTGATAGAAAGCCCTCCCTTGTTGAGGATGCAGACCCATCCCACTGCTGAGAATCTTGCTCCTTGTCAGCACCTGGTCAGCCTGGCCAGGGCAGAGTTAACCCTTGGTGATGCCTATCTCCAGAAATGTGGCAATCTTTAGGGCCTTCCCTCCCTCAGGTACCCCTACCTCACACACCCGCCGGGTGTCCTGATACTGACCCTTTGCTGCAGTCCGCCCGGCCCCTCAGAATGCAGATGCCTCCAGCCTGATTTAGCTCATTCCTCATTGGTGCATCTGTGTTAGTCCACCCTGGTTCTGATGGAGTAAATAGGACACATATGTCACTGTGGAGGCTCATGAGTCTCTAGATAAAAATAAGCTTGGAAAATTACAAAAATCTTCTAGGGCAATACTTCCTTAATGAATCCTGACTCTTTTGACACTCCATTGCACTGATTAATGTTCACTCAAATTGACCACCTGGCATAGCTCACTGTCGAAATCAGAAAGGATATATTTTCAAAAGTCAGGTGCTGTCTTTTGTGTTGTAAAATCCCAGTATGCATGTGTGTGTGGATGTATGTGCATAAGCAGACTCATGACAATTACAAAAAGATGCAGTATCTATTTAGCAAAAAGGCTAGATTTTCACTGGCCAGATATTTTAAGCCAACTAAAAGTGGAAAAATGCTTTGTAGAGACCTTTGGCATGAGCTATCTGGAAGTTAAAAAAAAAATAGGAGGCAATGGCAACAGCCTGCTTTGCATCATTACAAGCTATGAGCAAATAAATCTACTTTCAATGCTGAGTCTCAGTACAGATTTGATCACTCCCCCTAACATCTCTTTTTAATCTGGTTTCGGTAGAGTTTAGAATTGGGCACACAAAAAACTGACACATGAGAACACCATTCATGTAGCAGAGTCAAGGAATATTTGAAGGTAAAAAACAGAAACCCATTCAAAATGAAACAAATCAAAAGGAGAGCTTAATGGAGGCAGACAAGGGCTATCTCTCAGATCCCAAGGGCAGAAAGTATAGCCAGAGGGGCAACATAAATGAAAGTTAGGCCCAAAGGTTAAGGGCCGCATGGTCCCTCACATCTTGCCTATGCAGTCCAGCTCTAGTGGGCCCTGGAGCAGAGCCCAGGTGCCTGCTCCACCTGATTTCCAAGTTCCGGCATCTTGCTCTCTAAGTCTCTAGTTAAAGTTCAAGTGAGAGAAGAAATTGAATTGGTCACTGGCCAGCCAGTGGACTGGACCCTCTGGCTATGGACTTTGGGTCTTCTTCATCCTTACATCTCAGGGCCTGGTGCAGATCCTGCAGTTGGGTAGGCTTGTAATCAATGCTTGTGGGATGAATATGATCACTGGCGATTTCACATTCACATTTTTAATTGGTATTTTGCAAGGATTTTTCCCACTCGTCTAGCTGAAGCTTGTTCATGTTTAGGCACAGAAGAAGAAAATGTGAAATATTGTTGCTGTGGAAACAAACTTGGACCGTGACTTTCTTTTCTCCTTTATGTAGATGTGGGAGTCATATCTCTTGGCTAAACTGAGTATGAATATTCACACAATGGCATTGAAAGCATCGAGCTTGCTCCCAGGGCACTTTGTGGCAGTCAGCTATGTGGACCATGAAACACACTGCATATGCCATTCTGGCATATAAGCTTTTTCACTTTGATGCACAGTCATTGGGTTAAATATTATTTTGAGTGTGTCCTACAATGAAATTATTGCATTTCAGTGAATTTCTGTTTGTGGATTTAAGATGCTTTAAAATCACACAGGGTAACAATTTTTTTAACAGAAAAACCATTTACCCATTATTTCTTAAAGTTTTTTTCAAAAGCTTCTATCTTGTTTTATGTATTTGGGATCAGCCCACATGGAAAGGTTCTCAAGATTCTATAGAATATTTTCCCTTTCCTCCCATGAACTCCTACAAGAAAGGTACTAAAAAGTGGTAACAAAATACTTTGTATCTTGTGATATTTCTCCCTGTGGAATGATTCTTTGTCTACCACATTTTCTACTGATCAATTACTTTACTGGAAGGAACATGCAGAAAGTTTATTACTTTTTTTACCTTAATTGACCAAAAGACCATTTTTATGCATTATAACCTCCTTATCCTAATCTAATCTGAATACCTTATCCAGTAATGTGAGAAATAATTTTTATTGTTTATAAGCCACTAGGTTTACGGTATTTTGTTCTGGTAGCCAGAACAAACTAAGACATTGACACAGAGAGGGCCCTTGATAAATGTTTGTGGAATGAATAAATGACCCTATAGGAACAGAATGAAGATGACTGAAACCTTAGCCAGAATTCCCCAGATGTGGACAGCCATGGTGCAGTAGAAAGATCATAGATCCCATCAGGCAGCTCTATCCTTTTGTGTCACCTAGAGTGACTCATTTAATATCTTTGAGACATTTTTCTCATTTGGTAAAATAAAGATAAGATAGCTCACAGGATTGTCGTGGGCTAATTGCTTTTGGCTTTAACAATACTGTGGCTGGTCCTCAATAAATAGTATTCCATTCCCAACCCCTGGTTTGACAAAGACTACTGAAAGCCTTAAAAACTTGGTAAGGTTAGCAAGCCTTATCCAAAGCAGACTTCAGATGAAGAGGCTCAGGAATTAATCAAACTGTGTTCCATAAGGAGCTCATTTTATTTAAGCGCTATAGCTCCTACTGGGAGGAACAAGGTTTAGTGTGAGGGTCAATTGAAAAGCATTTTCTTGTAAATAGTTGCTCAAGGCATGGTCTCTTTGAGAGGAATTGGGGGCCACCTATTTCTCCCAATTTACCAGGAAGTGTTTATTGGAGACATTGTTTATTGAGCATGGAGTACCATGGCTTGCCCTCTCGCATAAGGCCTAATAACTGTGTATTTATGTGTAGAGTTCCTTTTGCTGCTGCTGTGCGGCCAACAGTCTTTCAAAGGCAGGTTGAGCAGAGAGGGAGTTGACACTGGCTGTGCTACGGACAGGTCCAAAGTTTCCAGAGAAATGAAATGAACCTGCAGTTTTGCCCAGTGCTTATGACTGTCAGGGCAAAGTCAAATTACAGCCCTCTTCCATTTGTTAAGGAATGTTTGTGGGATGTTTGCAGACACAGCACAAGGGTACTGATGTTCGTTGAGACCTCAGCAGCCCACAGGAACCAGTCAACTGGACCTGGAAGGAGCTGACACATCAGGTGAGAATCACAGATTAACACAGCTAAATGAAAACTTCGGAGTCCCTGGGTTTGAAGACCAGGAAAATGCAGCACAGACAGATGAAGCTACTGGATGAGGGCCATACTGCTGGTAAGGGACAGAAAGACAACTCAAACCAGGGCTTTGGAGTCTCAGGCCTAAGCCCTTTCTCTACCAAGATGCTTACTGCAAGGATAGAGAAATCTAAAGGGGCTAGTGCCTTCAGTTTTCAATGAAATTTTTAAAGTTTTCTCCAGGTTAGATTAAAATGACCTAAAATAGCTCAGCATCTAATAAATGAGATGATGTACATGAAAGTGCATTGTAAATTATAAAATACTGCCTAACTGTTAGGGCATTGCTGATTAAATCTGGGAGGTTAATAATAAAATGGTCTGACCAGATGGACATAATTATACAGTATTACACATCACATTTTAATAGCTGCCAATCACACCAAAGTGATTTTTTTTATTAAGGTATCATTGATATACACTCTTATGAAGGTTTCACATGAAAAACATTGTGGTTACTACATTCACACATATTATCAAGTCCTCCCCATACCCCATTGAAGTCATTGTCCATCAGCACAGTAAGATGCCTCAGAGTCACTACTTGTCTTCTCTGTGCTACACTGTCTTTCCTGTGACCCACCCACATACCATGCGTACTAATGATAATGTCCCTCAGTCCCCTTCTCCCTCCCTCTCCCTCTCCCCTTTGGTATTCACTAGTTCATATTGGAGTCTGTGAGTCTGCTGATGTTTTGTTCCTTCAGTTTTGCTTCATTGTTATGCTCCACAAATGAGGGAAATCATTTGGTACTTGTCTTTCTCCACCTGGCTTATTTCACTGAGCATAATACCCTCTAGCTCCATCCATGTTGTTGCAAATGGTAGGATTTGTTTTCTTCTTATGGCCGAATAGTATCCCATTGTATATATGTACCACCTCTTCTTTATCCATTCATCTACTGATGGACACTTAGGTCGCTTCCATATCTTGGCTATTATAAATAGTGCTACAATAAACATAGGGGTGCATTTGTCTTTTTGAATCTGAGAACTTGTTTTCTTTGGGTAAATTCCTAGGAGTGGAATTCCCAGGTCAAATGGTATTTCTATTTTTAGTTTTTTGAGGAACCTCCATATTGCTTTCCACAGTGGTTGAACTAGCTTACATTCCCACCACAGTGCAGGAGGGTTCCCCTTTCTCCACATTCTTGCCAGCATTTGTTGTTCCTAGTCTTTTCAATGTTGGCCATCCTAACTGGTGTGAAGTGATATCTCATTGTGGTTTTAATTTGCATTTCCCTGGCAATTAGCAATGTGTAGCATCTTTTCATGTGCCTGTTGGCCATCTGAATTTCTTCTTTGGAGAAGTGTCTGTTCACATCCTTCGCCCATTTTTTAACAGGCTTACTTGCTGAGGTGCGTGAGTTCTTTGTATATTTTGGTTGTTAACTCCTTGTTGGATATGTCGTCAAAGTGATTTTTATCTGCTTCATTAGCTCTTTCATTAGCCTCTTTGTTGCTACTCCAGGGGAGGCAACACATTGATCCCAAATTTGTACATGGAAAATGTGCAGGAAAATTCATTTGTACATAGTGCTTTTCATTAATATTGTTTCAATTATAAAATAATGCATAAGTATATTATTGAAGAACAGTGGGAGATAGAGCAAAATATAAAAAAAACAAGGAAAATTACCTATAAAACTACCCCTGGAAACAAATACTATTAAAATTTTGGTGTGTTTTTTTCTAAAAGACCTGTAAGTACATAGTGTATATGCATTTTAAAATCTGTATTTTTAAACAACAGTGTTTAGTGACTGTTTTTTTCCATCCGTCTTTTAAAATACTATAATTGATTGTATGTTATTTCCATATGTGGAACTATCAAAATTTATCCACCCATCTATTGTTGGACATTTATCTTGTTACCAAATTATCACTATTACAAACATTTCTGAAATGAAAACAATACTTCTTTGTCCACACTTCTGATTTTTATCCTTCCTACAGTAGATTCCTGGATTATTAGATCAAAGACTATGACAGTTTTTAATGTTCTTTAAGGATCTCTCAGTTGTTTTTCAGAGAATGTTACTTATTTATATTCCCACTAGCACTGTGTGTCAATATACATCTTACCACATCCTTGCCAGCATTGTTATATAAAACAGTTGACAATGGAGGACACTCTGATGAGAAAGAGGTTATTCATGTGGTCTCAAATTAAATTCCCACAAGGTACTTAATAATTACAAAGGGGAAAGCAATAACTTTATAGAACAAAAACGTTGCAGATACCACATGAACAGAGATCACAGTATCATCAATAATGGGACACACTGACATTTTCTTCATGAGATGCAAGGAGACGGAGACATCACTTCTGGGATATTCCTGCCCCAAAATGCGCCACCTGAATCTAATCATGGTGAATATCAGGCAAGCCCAAATTAAGAGACAGTCCATAAAATAAATGATCTGTGTTCTTCAAAAATGCCCATTGCACAAGGCATTTAATGTTTTCTGGTTTCTATTATGATTGAATTCTGTTCCTCATTATATTATTGGTTTTGCTGGCACAGAAGAAAGCTCCTGGATTTTGGACATTTTTCTTGTATGTCACCATTTTACTAATTATGAATTAATGTTAAGAGCTTTCTGCTGATTCTGTTGCACTTCTTTAAAACTATATAATCATACTGTCCACAAACGCAGTAATTTTGACTCTCTCCTTCCAACAATTTTACCTTTTACTTCTGCCTGATGTCTTATGGCATCAGATAGAATTTCCAGAACAGTGCTACACAATAATGCAGAAATCCAGCATTTCTGCCTCTTCCTGGTTTTCATTGGAAGGTTTATGGTATTTTAACATTAAGGCTGTCAATATATGATGCTGTATGTTAAAAGGGATATCTTCCTATTCCTAGATTTCTATAGGTGCTTTTTAAAAAATCAGGCATGAATGTTGAATTTTATCTGAATATTTGTTTGCCATATATTGAGATTATTATTTGGCTCTTCTTGGTAGATTGTTGAATTGATGTCATTATATTGGCAGATTTTTCTAACGTGAAACTATCCTTACTTCCCCAGAGTAAGGCTGATTTAGCTGTGATAGATAATTCTCTTAACACTTCATTTTGCAATTATTACGTTTTGCCTTTTTGCAACACTGTGGTGCATTTCTATTGCATCAACTTAAGTGTAACTGGGACTGTTTCCAGAATTCCCTTCCCTGCATAGTTTTGGGCTAGCTGGTCCACAAGAAACAATTGCTTGAGATTGGGAGGGCAAACTTGAAGCAGGAGCCTTTATCTCATTATATTCACAGGTCAGTGCAGGGCACCAGGCAATTGCTGCCTCTTAGAGTGTTGTCCTTGCTCTGCTGCCACCTGATTGGGGTGGGACAGCACCTGGGCCCAATGCCTTTTTGCAACACTGTGGTGCATTTCTATTGCATCAACTTCTATTGCAACACCAGCTCCCACAGTTGCATAAGGTCCAATCTGTATAATATACCCCCTGTGTTATGTATCTCCTAGTACTTTTCCTTTGCTGACCAAATCCTGATTGAGACACTGTTCATAAATGAGATTGGTCTAAATATGTTCTGATTATTCTCTGTTGGCCCCATAAGATTCATCCTCTGACCTACCTGCACAGCCCTGCTCTGTACCCCAGGGTTAATTTTAGTAGAGTGGGGCTCACTTGCCCTCTGGCTTCTGTTAGGCTTGGTCAGTGTATGCCCTGGCAGAAGGCTGAAGGGCAAGGGGAAAGAGAGCAGAGGGCTTTCTTCTGCCTTTCCCCTTAGCCCAGTTCAGTGGTTCTGGTAATGGCCATATCCGCTATGTCTGCAGTTCTCACCCAGGACTTCCTCTCCACAATTCAAATCTTCACCATCTCTAAGGACATTATTTTCTCCATGTATACTTCTCTATTGCTATATAACAAGTTATCCCAAATTAAACCATAAACACTTACTACCTCACACAGTTTCTGAAGGTCAGGAGTTTAGGAGCGGCTTACCTGGTTGGTTCTGGGTCAGGGTCTTTCATGAGGTTGCAGTAAAATGCAATCATCTGAAGGTTTGACTGCGGCTGAAGGATTGGACTCCAAGCTTTTGTGTGTGGCTGTTGGCAGGAGGCCTCAGGTCCTTATCCCATGGGCCTCCCCAAAGAGTTCCCTGAGGGTCCTATACAATGCCAACTGGCTTCCCTCAAAACAGCAATTCAAGAGAGAGAACAAAGAGGAAGCCACATGCCTTTAGTCTCAGAAGTCAACACCTTCGCTCCTGCCACCTCTGTTCATTTGGAGGGAGTCACTATGCCTAGCCCACACTCAAGTGGAGGGCAGTTAAGCTCTATTGCTTTGAGGGAGGAGGAATAGCAGACAGTCTGTGGACATAATTTAAAACCTGCACACTCTGCCCCTTTCATAACTGGGATGGAAATGGCTGCCCATCATCACTAGTTTTGAATACCTCAGTATATCTTCATATGAATTTCCACACCTCTATAAATAATCCATTCATTAAATTATCTGTAGTTAGACCCATTTGAACATAATTCTGCCACCAGGATTTTAATACAATATATTTGGGAAGGGAGGGTATGCATAGTTATATAGCATGGGAATTCCATCAGCATATACATTTATCTAATTATATGTTATATATGATAATTATTATCTATTTGTATATTACATAAGTATACAAGATGTATAATTATTATATAATTTATATGGTATGTATAATTAGAGAAAGAAGGTGAGAACATGGGCTTTTTGCTTTTTCCTAAATAAGACATTCAATAATAACATAGATTTTAGAATCATACAAAAATAAGTAAAATAAAATAATAATTAAAAACTCAATAATAAAACATTATTTTAAAATAATCAATTTTACTTATACCAGGATGCCTTCTGGTACTTAATGCCATTTCCCTCTTCCCACCCCTTCTATGCTCCCTCTACAT